CATACATAAATACACACACACAAATACAGAACAGTTTACTAACAATGCCATTGTCGGTCGCCACTGTGCAGCGCCCTGTAATTTGAGCTAGGGGAGTGGCGTTGAAAAAAAGTTATTGTCATTTTAAACGATTACAATTTACAATCGGTAAAAGTAAATTTCGGAACCTCATTCTAAAAGTAAGTTAAAAGCGCCTTTCTCAAAAAACTTCGAGGCAACCATACAGTAGGCGAGGAAAACCAGGTTGAAAGAGGTATATTGTCAACCCAGCTTTATTTTGTTTTTGTTTTTGTTGTTGTTTCGTATTGATTTGGGTTTTTTTGGTGCATGTTTGGGGGTTTTTGTCGCTTTTTTGTTCCTGTATTTCTGTTTTTAGTTTAGTTTCTTTATCTGGAATCGGCAGCATGCTTTCAAGAAATACATGTATTTTGTCGAAATCCAAATTCTAAATGTTGAAAAGGGCAAGAACGTGTACATAAATTAGGTTCAATTCTTAAAAGAATAAAACAGTTTGTTGTTGATTTGTTTTTCTCTCCTGAACTGTTTTGTTTTCTGGGCGTAGAAACTGAACAGTAGGCCGAACAGCCATATTCAACATTTCCTTCCTTATTATGACGACATGTCTTGTGTAAACGTACAGCTGAGGCAGTGTCAGAGGGTGGACCAAAATTTGGGTGAGCCCTAGGTTGCTTCCACTTCTTTACCACAAAAAAACAAGCAAAAAGAATTAAACAGTGATGGTTTTTCTATACTCATGACGAGCCACGGCATTTTGAGAGCCATTCAAACGAGAAGAGTCACCTTTGTCTTCCATCTCTTTGTTCTAAGTTAAATTCTTTCTTTTTTTTATGATGAGGGCGAAGCCGTTTACCCTCCAAATTTCCTTTAATTTCATCTGGTTCGACGAGATTACTGTTAAATCTCAGCGGCACAAACACAAACATGCACAAATAGCACTTCAAACATATTTCGTGTATGAACTGGATAAGGCCGTGTAGTCCTGACAGGCAGAATGCACCTAACAAAGGCATGATGAGCGCATAGGTAATTGTGCGGCTGTGCGGGCAGCGGAAAATTGCTCCAGTTTTTAATTTTATCGTGAAAAAAAATCAGAGGAGGTTTCCAGAACCTGTTGGGAAATTACGCAAGTATTTACGGTGTCGAGTATTTCTTAGGTTGTGCAGTTATTCGACGTGGTGCTGACTTGACATTGTATAAGTTATAAGTTTAAGCTGTAGAGCTCTTCAGTTAGCCAATTATCAAGACTGTTATTTCATTTAATTGTTGTTGTTTTTTCGTCCTTTCTCTGTCATTAAAACCTCCTTTTTAAGTTTCTTTTTGAGTGCGACTAAATAGCATCGTATATACACATTTATACAAGGCCGCTAATATATCATTTACTTATTTTCTGGTTCTTCAGAGAAAAACTCACCGGACTATTTTCAGCTAAACAATGTACCCCCTCCAACACCCAACCTGATAGAGAGTTGTGGGTGGTTGGCGGGTACTCTGGTGTGGTTTGGTTCTTCTTTCCTATCAAACATCTATCGTCTGTATCTCTTGCAAGTGCCGTAAAACGCTTACTAAAACTAAATAACTACAGATAGGGAGGTCTTAAACTGGTTTTTAGTGAACACTCAATCACTAAACATGTTTGAGGTTGGGATTCTGATTCGACTACAGACCACATAATCGATACCACACTCAAAAACCTGCGCAATTTACCGTACATAGGAAGGGCGGCTTGTTGGGTAAGCCGTTGCGTAACAGCGTACAAACCTGCGCAATTCCCCCACCCCCACCCCCCGTGTGTCGTAAACGTTCACCCCTTTGTCAGGGCTAGGAGGGGGCTCGACTTCACCTGATTGTTATCAGTCCAAGGGCATAATTAATTAGTTGAAGTTTCAAGCGATTGCAGGTTCTGGCCTTAAAATCTCAATGTAACATTTCGTTTTTGGATACCTTCACTGGTTGTATTCCGTACGTCCCTCAAAACTATCATGACCTTTGGAACTGTAGTTACTGACTCATTGTTATGCGATACTGTAAGCGTTGCATGTGCCCATTATTATCATTATCAATAATAAATTGCTGATGTTGTCATTGTGAGCAGTAGAGTACGAATGTGATCTACCTCATGTAAGTTCAGGGTTCCAATCCTAGTTATTTTAATCCTCATGAGATTACAAGATATGTCCCAGAAGTATGTTTCCCTGTTTGGTAAAATCAACACTTCTATTTTTATTTTATAGACAGAAAGTTTTGTTCATACCTACAGAAACATGTTTCTATTCAAGATACCAGTCGTTGTTTTCAATGCGATTTTCACCTGATTTAGCCAACTGGCAAACGCAGTGAAGGGACTCTTGTGGACATGAGGTTACGATGTTTGTATCTCTTTCATCTCATTCAATGGGTCCGTGGTTCGACACCTGGCGGCGACGGAAATTTTTCTTCTCTAAAATCTTTCCTTTCACCTCCTTTCTTGCTCTCTAAACATGTTCTGTCGTCTGCTTTCGCCTCCACTTTTTGCCCCGTCGCCCCCCTCCCGTTTGCCCCCCCCCCCCCTCCATTTTGCCCCTTCCCTGGGCTCCCGACTCTTTCTGCAGTCTTTCTACTGCTATTTCTTGGCTCCTTCTTACTGCTGTCTTTCTGCCACACCCCATGATCTTATGGTAGGTAAGATCTAACACCTAGCCTTCTCGGATAAGGGCCAAAAATCTCGGCGGTCCCGTGTGCAAGTTGTGCACGTTATGGAACCCTTGGCGGTCCTAAAATCTATATGAGTAGCTTCGGCCGCCACCCGGGCAGAATTCAAAATTCCCACCGAACTTTTGTTTGTTTTTGTAAAGTGTTTGCGCGCGGACACTCCTAATATTTTCAGTTGGTAGAAAATTTTGAATTTTGCCCGGGTGGCGGCCGAAGCCTACTCTTATCGATTTTAGACCACCAAGGGATCTTCAACGTGCGCAACTTGCACACGGGCCCTCCGAGATTTTTCGCCCTTGTCCGAGAAGGCTAGGTGTAGATCTTTCCTACCAGAAGTTCAGGGGTGTGGCAGAAAGACAGCAGTAAGGAGGAGCTAAGGAGTAGCAGTAGAAAGGCTGCAGAAAGAGTCAGGAGCCCAGAGGAGGGGGCAAAGGAGGTGAGGGGGTGGGGGCAGAAAGTGGAAATGAAAGCAGACAACAGAACATTGCTAGAGAGCAGGAAAGGAGGTGAAAGGAGACAATTTTAGAGAACAAAATTTTTCGGTCGCTACGCGGATTCGAACCCGGGACCTTTGAATGAGAGGCCAACACCTTAACCTCTAGGCCACGAGAGCCCCCCCCCCCCCCTCCCCCTACCGAACTGAAAATGTTTAATTTGATCTGCGCGCTCATATGACCCTATGCAGTGACGAGCACCGTATGTAGAACGCTAACCAAAACCAAAGCGTAGTGGTCATGTCTTCTTCGGCCACAGTCCTTTGTGCAGCATATCTTTCGTACACAATTTCTTCCTCGTTTTCAAGTCGCTACCCTCTAATAGGCTGGTTTCCTCTGATTGCTGGTCTCGGCTTAGTCTGAAGAACCTTTCTGGGTTCGTAGTGATCCTGGTTTCTTCATACTGCTGACAGTCTTTTCAGTTCTGGATCCCACAGATACCTCCACGTTTCCTCACCTGTTATTATTCGTCCCTTTAATCCGTGTGACTTTCGTTTTTTCCCCAAAATCGAAAAAAAAATCTGATTGGGGGGGGGGGGGGGGCAGAGATTTGAAGATAGGGAAGAAATTGTGCTTTATACAAATGCTGTACTATGGACGCTGGCTGAACCGGACATGGTCACTGCGTTTGACCTCTGGCCACATTGGATGACAGAGTGCACTGGGAACATTTGTTGCTATAATGAAAGAAAATATATTTCTGTTGGTATGTACAAAACGTAATGTCTCTCTCTCCCACCCCATTACTCCGCCTCCTCTTCCTACTCATCGCCCTATCTTCCTCTTTTCTTCTTCCTCCCCCTCCTTCTCTTTTTCTTTTTCTTCTTCTTCTTCTTCTTCTTCTTCTTCTTCTTCTTCTTCTTCTTCTTCTTCTCAGATTTGGTCTACTTGAACAAAATACCGTTAAAAGGCAAAGTGAAATTCACCGAAGAATCCTTGAATCATGCTGAGCACTGAACATATCGACGACTGAGCTTCCGCTACTGGAGCCAGCATAGCCAGAAAGAGAACCAGAAGAATGCACTGTGTCGCCGCCATCATGGTTCCGATTTCTTGCTGTCCCTATCCTCAACGTTTGAAAACAAAATACATTTCCAAATAAATCAAATTTTCTGAACTCTCCGTTCTCAATCAGATAAATTGCTTTCCTCTTCCATCGACTGAAAAGACAGAGGAGTTGATTTCTACGCACAATAAATGTGCCAAAAATATAACCAGACATATTATATATTATTATAATTGTATCATTGCCAGATCCTCACAGAACGAATAAAATTCGACTAGGGGAATGTCACGTCTGTTTATATGAAGAAAACCAACTTACAAGTTCGAGTAACGTCTAGTTTTATATATTTCAACACAACCTGAATGAAATGCAAAACCTTGCAACCTCTTTAAAATAACCATATTGTGTAAGCGTGCACTGAAAAAAAATGACATAAAATTGATATTGCCAAATATACTCAGGGAAGATGTTGACTATTTAACTCTAAATATACGAAAGGCATTTCCACTTCATTTAATGTGCAGCCAATTTCATCATCAAATTTTTCATCCTCAAATTTTTCAACACCACATACGACTTTATAACCTTCCCCTTATTTAACCTATCTGTGTTAAATAGATACGACACTGAGTAGAAATGAGTGCCCCAATATAAAAACATACAGTACCATTACAGATCAAATGGATTTGTTGTGATTTTGTAGATTTATGTTACATTTTACGTATGTAAACAACAAAGCGATGTCTCCTGTGCCAGCTGAACTGGCTCGCCGTATACTAAGAGATTGCATGCTCCAGGTGTGAACCATAACTTCTCTTCAGACAACCTAGAATACGCTGCTGAAGATTTTGAATAATCCCGTGGCATGTTTCTTGATCAATTCTTTGAACCTTCCGTTCAACACAGAATTTCAACTGTTCGATTTCTGCGGATTATTTCTGTAGACTCTAGCTGTAAAAAAAAGCCCAAAGAAAATAACTGAGGGTTCTCAAGTTAGGAGAATGTGGTGAGTATTCATTTGTAAGCTTTCGGTTTATGACACAAAGCGTTCCTTACATCTTTCTTGCAACCATACAAGGCAATGCCTACTGTCATATACTGAAGGTGTTGATACCTGTATAAGGGCACTCTTGATGTACGGGCCACCCTTACTGGAACCAGGCTTCCTCAACAGCATAACACCTTCTCTTCCTCAAACTTCTCTTTAAACTTTCTCAGCAAGGTGAGATATCCATCTGATAAGATGGTCATCGTTTTTATCGCTCTCTGTTGAAACCAGAACGGGCTGATAGCGCCCCTGTTGCTGTGCTCTTATAAGAAGTGAAGTGTTGCGTTTTTACCCAATTTGTTTGAATTCTTTTTTTTTTTCTTAAATAAAACTGATTGATTTTCTTCGTTGGTAAATTTGTCGTACATGTGGTTGAATTTTGAAGGAAAAAAATTATGTGCTCGAGTTGTTAATGACTTTTTTTTGGGGGGGGGGTGTTTTGTTTTTGAAGTTGTCTTTTTTGCTTTTAAACGCTCCATATAATATTACTTTCAATGTACAGTACACAATTTCGATGGAGCAGCTCTCGAGAGTCAAAATCACTTTTGCTGTCCTTCTATGGACGTCTTAAAACTTAAATGGGTCCTTTTACTAAATATATGAGACAGACGGGTCATTTCACTAAAACTGTGAGTTAGACAAGCCATTTCGCTGAATATATGAGATGGGGGAGTTATTTCACTTAATCCATGAGATGGGGAAGTCATTTTACTAAATATATGACATAGAGGATTCATTTCACCAACTCTCTGAGATGGGGGAGTCATTTCACTAACTCTATAAAACAGAGGATTCATTTCACTAAAACTGTGAGATAGACAAATCCATTTCACTAAATCTATGAGACAAACAAGTGATTTCACTAAATTATTTGAGATAGACTTGTCATTTCACTAAATATGTGAGATAGACGAGTCATTTCACAGACTCTATAACACAGAGATGTCCTCTCACTTAATCTGTGAGACAGACGAATCATTTCGCTAAATCAATGGGATACAGGAATCAATTCACTAAATCTATGACAACTAAGCCAGGAAAATTGTTGCCGGTTGTTCTCAAATAGTGTAGCACTTACCTTTGTCGTAGATAGAGCAAAAGAAATGAAATAGTGTTCGGCCGTCAATAAGTATAGTAACAATTTTGTCAGCTCGTCAGGTTTGTGTATTTATGTGATTCTTCATAAGTGTTATTATCCTAACAGATGTTTGTCCTCATCGCCTCGGGTGGACTATATAATTGTTGAGTTTGTATTTGTAGATCTTTATGTCCAGTAGAGAGGCTAATTACTGTGTAATTATTTCCCACATGGCCCAGCCTTGAGGACAATTACGGTTAACAATCCGGAGTCAGTCGAAACAGACAGAGAGACAGACAGACAGACAGACAGACAGACTAACAAATCGACAGACAGACAGACGCCCACACAAACACACACAGACACACACAGACACACACACACACACACACACACACACACACT